GCTAAGATTGTGAACAAACCAAAGTGCAGTGGACGAATGCAGGTGCAATGGCAAACGTCCAGCAGGACACCAAACCAATAAAGACCCAAATCGAATTATTGTTGGTTGGAATCTTCACTCAACCGTCAGCAGCCTCAAAAATCATTGGAATTGGATCAGTTTTCTTGAAGTGAGCAAATGGGTTTGGTGGCTCACCAATTGATAAAAGATGCAGAAAAATAAATGCAAGGAGAGAGACTTAAGCTGGCAGCAGCCTTCTCTTGGAAATGGGATCTGCAATTGCCTTGTTTTGTGGGATTAAATCTGCAGAAAATGGATTTAAAAGGGGCAGCAACTAGGGAGCTTAGTAGACACTTTTGGAGACAGATTTTGGAGAGAAAAAATAAAAGGAGAGAGCTCACTTTGACACACTTTGGAGTTGAGCATTTTGAAGAAAGGAAGACTCTTGTAAGTTGGGGATTAAGTTCAACACTTAATACTTTCTCTACTCCTTTGTTTAGGTAATTAGTTGTGATGTTGAACATTATCATGTTTATGTTCTTTCTTTTCATCATGAACTAATCCCCCCAATTTCTGGGGGAAACTTATGGATTTCATTATCTAGCCTCAATGTTTTAATCACGACTAGTTTTTCCTCCATTTTCTATCGTGTGAAATTGTTTAACGCTTTGTGTTGATTGGCCACCTTCATAATGTTTTGTAGTTTTCTAGGTTAATAACGATAGTGAAAGCATAACCGAACACATTTCACACGACATAATTGTCTATCGAAGCGATAGTGGATTAAATTGTGAATTATGCAGTCATTTTAGGGATATCGTTCTTAAGGCTAATTAATTAATTCAGTTAACTACGATAGTAGAAATTGTCTTAATTAGTTAATACGTGGTAATTCTCGATAGAGATAGCTATCAATTTAAAGGTATCCCGACTTTAGAAATATGGATTAAATTGATTGACAAGGATAATTAAAATTACCGAGGTAAATTGTAGAATCTTGTGTTTCCCCCGGAACTCTCCAAAGATAATTTCTCCAAAAATTTCATTTCCTGAGTTGTTAAATCCAGTAATTCTGTAACTCATCACTTGATTACAACCTTTGCAATATCTATAATTTCTTGAACAAAATTTGATAATTATTGAATTTCACCAATCCCCTAGAGAACGATAAGTTTGCTTACACTTTATTACTTGTACGACACTGTGCATTTGCAGTTTTGTCGCCACCAAAGTGGAAAAACCAATCAATGGGAAGAGGACATTGCTAGTTCCAAGTTCATTACTATGTTGGATCGAATGCATGTCATTTTACTTGTGCCAACTCATCGCCCTTTGCCTAATCTTATAACTTGGAGCTTTCAAATATTTTAAGATTTTAAAGATATGTGCTTCATGTTACTTCTACATTTTGTCCTACCATACTTTCTATATTTTTGAGCTTACATGATGAATGAAGTATATGGAGTACTTTTCTGTTAATACACAATTGAGAAGCTATATGATTAGCTTCTGAAAGAAGCCATGACCTTAAAGTGTGGGGTTATCCACTATGATCTATAATAACTTAGCTTCTTTTTGCACAGGAAAATGTTGAGTTCCTTCTCATGGTTAGGAAGGAATAAGAATAAGGAAGGAGATTATGGCGCTTCTTCATTAAGAGGGCTAAGGCATCCTTGTCCGCCTAGAGTAGATCCAGAGCCTCTAGCACCACAATGACATGCATGATTCGGGCTAATTACACACATTTTACCCCTCATTTCTTGATAGTCTGACTTTGCATTTCATCGTCCATTGACCTATTTTATGCTAGGTTGTGCTATTTTTGGTACATTTCAGATCTTAGCATGTGTGCAAGGGTCAAGGACGAGTTTCATAATAATTGGAGTCGAAAAGCGCCAAAAAATGCAGAAGAGCACAAATCACGGTTTGGGGGTGATTGTCACGGTCACTAGATCGTGACAATTGACCTTTGGGCATGAAGATCGTTGGGAAACAGGACATTTGGCGCATCTCGCGGGTTTGAAGATTGTCACGGTCGTCAGACCGTGACAATTGTTCAGTGACCATGATGTTGGACCAAAACGTCACTAGTGACCTGCGTTTTTGTTCGATGTCACGGTCTGAATTTCAATGTCATGGCCATGAAATGATGACCGTGTACTTGACTGTCATGCTGTATATGTAGAAGGCTGTTGAGAGAGAGAAAGAGAGGCTGGAACTTGGGAGAAAGTGAAGAACAAGGAAGGAAGATAAACATCACTCTATGGTTCTTTCTCTTTTCTTTGTTGTATATCCTTGCCTACCTATGGAGTAGCTCTCCTTCTCACTTGGGTATTGCGAACCCCAGTCTAGATGTGTGTTAGGATGTAAGAACTTGTATCTATCCTTGTTGGTTGTGTGTTTTATATAATATTTGAGGTATTAATCATAAATGATTGAGTGTTGCTAGCTTTAACTCATTATTTGGTCAATTTGACCTAGAAGGTGGAAATCTCCTTTGGCCCATAGGGAGCTTGATCTCCTAGCCACTTGGGTAACCACTTCTACCTCAAGTATCGAGTTAGAACCATGATTCTAGCTTGATTGGTCTCTCTCGGCCGTCTGGATTAATTTCGAGGGATTTGTTCTTGCAGTTCTTAGTTGATCGGTTAAGAGAGCTAGGTTACCTAGATTATAGTTGCAATCCTTAATTGATCTACTAAGAGAGTGAGGGTTTCCTAACTAGTTGCACCTGCCTCACGGTATATGAACATGTCCTTCACTCTAAAGTTACGTTCATTGTTTCTTAACATGAGAATAGGGGGAGCAACACTCAAGTGAAGTTCTCTCATATAGAATTCTCCACAATTTACTTTGTTTGCTTGTTTTCATTTGTAGTTTTCTTAATTTTAAAACCCAAACTGCTTGCTACATAACAACTTAAGTGATCGAAGTAGGGGTACATGGATCAGCCCGGGTTTGTCAATTAAAATTGCTTGCCTATACTGCACCCGAATAGAGTTTATACTTGGGCTCTAGTCAAGATTTAATTCACGGTGTAGTATGTGCGAGTCAATGCATGACTCAACATGAGGGAGTCCACAATCATGATTGTGAAGGAGGATTCTTTTAGGAATTCGAGTTCACACTTCCTCTTTGCTAGGAGATCCTTGAGTCAACTAGAGGAAGGCTATCTATGGATGGCGGGAGATCAAGGAGAAGAAATGGACAGCTGCCACTAGAGTTCGAGGTGACGGAGACTGACAATAGTTTGGAGATTCTAGAGGATATACATGAAGCTCGCCTATATCCCTTCCTCCTGTTTCCCTCGGGATTCCTAGTTCCATGAAGATAGCAAGATGGGATGCAATGCTTGTCTATCAACAAGGAGAGCTAAACTGGCGGGACTTCAACTAGTACCAAGGACAGAGAGCACAACCGAGACAAAGATTGAATGATGTTGGTCTCCTGTCATTATTGAAAATTCAAGGAGAGAACATAGACGTCCTCACTCGAGATTTCATGGCCATGAAAATAGTTCTTTGATAGCTATGAAAATAGTTCTTTGATCTTCTGTGGCTAGGATATTGTCTCACTATATAAGTAGTTCAATTATAGCATAATAAGAAGTTTGATTTTGTGTTTTGTAAGCATTGGCTACCATAGTCATTTGAAGAAGATTCAAAATTTGATACTCTGAACCTATCAAGTTTCATTCGTAAATAGAATTGAAATTGTATTTATTTTGGATGATGGTGGATTTTTTTCAAGACCTAAATCAGGTGCAGTGGGATGTGTGTAAGATCATGTTTAGTTTGTGGGAGGATATTATAGTATCACAACAACATAAAAATGTTATTTTTATAGTTTAGGTAATAGAATGTAAATTAAGAAAGGACTACTTAGTAATGATTTGCATAGGAGTAGGTATCACTATGCAATTTTCCTTTGTATCCGTTGACTAACAGACGCAACTAGTTTTCTCTCTCCTTTTCTCTCTATTCTCTAGCAAACTATATATAAAAGATGATCCTAGATCGATCAGTAGGTTATATTTTCAAGCGGAATATACTAACTGTTACTTACCAAATTTCATCACCGTATACTATCTTTTACCACCCTATATGAGGGTGATATTTTTGGTCCCGAATTTTTCCCCATAAATTTGTAAATATAATAGATCACGACGAACTCCTCACTTTTGGGTACAAATTTTCAAAGTTGAAGTTATAATCCAAGTTAAAACAAAAAAGTAAAAACAGATTGAAAAGTTGGGAAAACAAAAAAAAACTTCTATTCTCATCTTGTAGATCTGACCCCACTTAAACTTTAGAGTCCATATCAAATTATGCATTTAACTAGACCCACCAAGGATGGTAATAGGTTATGACAAAAAGAAAAGATGGTAATAGGTTGGGTTACGTGTCGGGTACACCTATACCCTATCCCGTGGATATCCTGGACAATCACAGTTAGTGTTGCAAATGATTAGAGTTGAGCCAACTTTGAATGGAATTTAGTTCAACTCATTAAAAAATGAGTTGAGTTTGACCCTATTAGTTTGCTAAAACTTTCTCCTAAACTCGACTCGAGTATGACTTATTAACGAGCTCACGAGCTTGATCTAGTCGAGCTTGCCTTAAGCTCACCTCATATATGATTCTAAATGATTGAACATCTAATATAAACTAAAAAATTATTTGTAAATTAGATACCATAATACATTTGATTAATATAATGATGGAAAAGATAAAAGATAGTAAATATTTTCACGACTAATTTATCTCGCGCTTATATACTCTGTTGATATCATATTTAATTCATAAATTATAACTAGCTCCGGTCATGTTATTTAACAATAATAGTATTTAAGCAATATATAATAAATAATTCTCCTTTCAAATTATAAATGAGACATATTTGGTATTGTACTGAAAGTCATTACCAACTTATTGTGAAATATATAATCTAACAAAGTTATGAGCTATAAACAAGTAAATTCATAATCAATAGATCGATTAAGTACTTATAACCTTTTATTCGAGATTACTCGCTTGTAACAATGTTGATCAAGCTTACGAGTTTAGATATACGAGCCACTGAATCGAGTTGGCTCGCGAGTCTCATGAGCTGAACAATTCTTAACTCAAATTTGGTTCATTGAAAAACGAGCAGAGTTTCAAACAATTTCCCGAATCGAGCGATTCATAGCTTGGCTCATTTGCACCTATTGTACCCGAATATTGAAATTCCTCGTGGAACACAAAGGAAGTGAAAGTGTGATAGTAATAAGCAGGAGTGAGAAATTAGTTCATATTCTCCCACTTAGAAAGGGTTAATTGCAAGGATGGTCACTGGGTTTACTAAAACCGTTCATGTTTGGTCACTGCAAATATTTAATTCCATTCATGGTCACTAAGATTAGTTCAATAGTTCAAGTTTGGTCACTCTCCGTTAGTCTCCGTTAGTTTTTGCTGATGTGGCAGTCAACTATTATAGTTGACCGTTAAATGAGTGACGTGGCCAATAATAAAATAATAAAATATAAATATTTACAATTTCCACCTCATTTTACAACTATTAAAAAATAAAAATAAAAATAAAACTTACCTCCTCCACCGAAAGCTCGCCGCCTGCTTCGAACTAGCGTTCTTACACACCAGCACCGCTCCCCTGGCGCTAAGCTTCGCCGCTCTCAGCACCCTGGCGAAGTCCTTCCGCCGCGAATCTACCACAAGGAAATCGATCCCCTCCAGCCCTTGCATCACCTCTTCCGGTTCCCCCACCACCACCTGATTGGCCGCCGGCAGAATATTAATCGAATTCCCACCGCTAGCCTGACGCAGTGCTTGCAAATACTCCGATCTGGAATTCTCGTCGGGGACCACGCACACGTTCCGCCCGCCGGAGTGACGGCTGGCGACGGCGAGGCCGATGCTGGTCGCTAGTGGCCCGCCGCGAGACCATGTCTCCACCATGAATTTGGCATTCCAGCCGGCCGCCATAGCCGAAACCAGCTCTGCTACGCCGGATTCCTGGCTAACCCCACACTGTCGAAAATCCAGGAATCAAAAATCGCCATCCAGAATCGAGAATTGAGGGAAAACCCCAAACATATATAATTCAATTCTTACAGAAAGAAGTAATTTGGCTGGCTTACTGCTTTGACAGTATCGAGATAGGCTTTGGTAGTCAATTCAGGGGACCATATAAGCTTCATTTCTTTCTCTTCCTTTCTTATCAATCTTGTCCCTCTTGGTATTTTTCAGCTGCTCCCCTTGTTCTTCGTCTGGTTTATTGATGGAGGGTTTGCTGCGGATAAGGTTTGCGACACGTGGGTTCCGGGCGACGAGCCAGAAGAACCAAGTGAGGGCTGTGGAAGTGGTGTCCTTCCCTGCGAGGACGAAACTGATGACTATGTCTCTGAGAAATTTGTGCCTCTGTTTTTCGCCTTCGAACTATCAACTGCCCTCGCGTCGTCGGAGCTCGGAAAGAGGACCAAATTCGGGTACGAAGAATTGAAGGGGCTGGATTACCTGCACGCGGCTCTATCGGATTCGATGCGGCTGTTCCCTCCGGTGGCTCAAGTAGTAGGGTAAGTAGACATCAGATGAGGGAGTAAGAGTGGGAGGGGCTGTCGGTGGCAGCTGGAAAGAGGAGCGATTAATGAATTTTTTTGGGAGGAGGTAAGTTTTATTTTTATTTTTTAATAGTTGTAAAATGAGGTGGAAATTGTAAATATTTAAATTTTATTATTTTATTATTTTTTATTGGCCACGTCACTCATTTAACGGTCAACTATAATAGTTGACTGCCACATCAGCAAAAACTAACGGAGACTAACGGAGAGTGACCAAACTTGAACTATTGAACTAATCTTAGTGACCATGAATGAAATTAAATATTTGCAGTGACCAAATATGAACGATTTTAGTAAACCCAGTGACCATCCTTGCAATTAACCCCACTTAGAAATAAACAATTCACCACTCCCTAGTTTCATCAATGTCCCAAAAACCCAGCATACACATACAATTAGCCAAAACTAGTAATTCACGCGACATGGATTGGAGAAAACATGAAAGAAGAACTAATGCATGTAGCCAACGTAAGTAACAAAAACAATTGTGATCATAAAACATTGGCCATTTCTACACATATGAGGTTTTCCAGTCCTAAGCAGTTTCAAGATGTTATAACCAGGCATTCAATTGAAATTGGCGCTGATATAAGGTGGGTTCGGAGTAGTGATAGAAGGAAGGAGGCTGTTTATGCCCAAAAGTGTGGATGGAGAGTGTATGCCAGTTGGTATGGGGAAAGAGAAACGTTTATGGTGAAGGGTGTTGGTCCACCACAAGATTTTCCTCGTTCATTTCGTATCCGTGGAGCTACTGCGAAATTGATAGCTACTCAATTTCTGGATCGATTTAGAGTTGAGCAAGATTGGGATGTGAATCTCATGGCAGCTGAGATTCAACGAAAGTACAATTTGGATGTCTCAAGAAAAGCTTGTTACCTAGCTCGAATAGAAGCGAGACGAATTCTCAATGGCACTCTAGAAGAAGATTTCCACAGAATAGAATCTTCCGTCTAGAGGTTGACGTGGAGCCAGGAGCCGAAAAGGTTTTCTTTAAGCGCTTTTATGTGGGATTTTCCAGCTTGTGTCGAGGTTTCTTGGAGGGCTGCTGACCTTTCTTCTGCTTTGATGGGTGCTTCTTGAAAGGGGAGGTAAAAAGAATCCTATTTAGTGCTGTTGGGAAGGACGAAAAATAACCATATGTATCCAATAGCATGGGCAGTAATCGAGTCTGAAAATGGGAGCTCGTGGATGTGGTTTCTCCGTATTTTGCAAGAACAACTTCACATAGTAGACGACAATGGATGGACAATAGTATCCGATCAATAGAAGGTATAGGTTCTAATACTCTTTTTGCATAATATCAAGTACCGTTTACTAGGTTCTAATATTATTTTTTGAATTATATGTCTCGTAGGGGTTGGTTGAGGCTTTACATGTCAAAGCGAAACACAGAATGGATGTTGCAACAACTCTTTACTGAGAGGCTGTTTATTCAACTAATGAGGCTGATTGGAGGGCTGCCATTACTAAGATGAAAGCTCTTGAAGGGAATGTATATGCTAATTTTATGGCTATGGAACTGAAGCGATTCTGTCGAGTCATTCATGAAGACTACACAACCCCCAATCACTCAACCTTATACACAATAGATGCCGATGCGTTTGACACTCCGATGATGGTTCCCTTATGTTATCTTTTTGAACATGGAATAGCTATGTATTAGGGAGCTTGTAGTCCCTTATTTTGTCTGTTTAATAGTGTACTATGCATGTATAAGGAAAAACAGGATGTTAACATGCTTATGACATTTTCGGATGGGAAATGGTTGTTGGGGTGTCTTATTTCCTCAAACAGTTTTCATAGACACAATCCATATCTTCAAGGAATACAACTTGCTGGATTACAACCAGTTTAGCTACTTAAATCCAACTGACAAATACTAAAACACACAACAGTATAATGCCAATGTAACAACTATTCACCCTACTCTGCAGTTTACAAATAGTATGCTCCATATTCTGCAATTCAAGACAGGTTAAAGCACTTAGACTGCAATTTTTTGCTAACTCTTCAGCTATATTGAACTTTTGTTTCTTCTTCTTCTCAACCTTTTCTTCAACTTCAGGAATATGACCTTCAAATCGTGCTGTTAAAGCGTCTATCTAAGCTTCCAACTCAACTATTATAGACTCCAACCACTTGTTCTCCTCCATCAAACCATCAACCTCGAAATCGTTTGCTGATGTTCTTCGATCACACCACTTGAAATTATCACAACTCTTCTTAATATCCTACATGACAACAAAGCAAGTCAATTTGTAGAGTACAAACTACCATTTGGACAATCGATGTTAATTAACTTCAACAATACTGGCAATATGGGTGTTAATTAACTTCAAGATTGTACCTCCTTTTTAGCAGATGACATGGTTAGGCATGGAAAGATTGCGACGAGGCGAGGTTAGGAGAAGATGATGGCCGACAACGAGTGACAAAAGGCGGCGAGGAATGCCGGAGATGGCGGGCGACGAGGGATGAAGGGCGGCGAGGCAGACGACTGGCGGAGATAGCGGGCGGGGGCGGAAGAGGCGGAGGCAGAACGGATGGAAGGCGACGCCGACGGAAGAATCGCCGGGCACTCACTTGCTTTGTTCTTGGTCGGGAACGCAATGAGGAGGACTGGGGAATAGGGATTCTTCGATAGGGTGAAAATGGGGTGATATGATTCCAATTGGATCAATCCACAATTCACAATTACTTTCCAAAGAAGTCATTTCATTTCACTTGAAGAATTCTGATTTTTGGCCAAGTGTTGAAACAGTTTCAGGTAGCCTACTTTGGAAGCTTGTATCTTCCGAATGGATCAATGGAAATTGGAGTTCAAGGACTTGTATTGCAGATAAAGTTTCCAGCTTTCCAATGGTATGCTTTTGGATCCAGATGATGTCATTAAGGTTTTTTTCCAAGGCCTCAAAGTTGCTACCTCAAAACTGGAAAACTGCCAGAAAATGGTTGTCTGGAAACTGTTTTGTGAAGCCTACTTTGGAGCTTAATTCGAGGAGCATGGATATGATTCAAGTCCAAGACTTCCACAACATGAAACTAGGTATGTTTATATACAAAGGGAAGGAATTATATGAAAGATTGAAGTTCGGGAAGGCCTCGAACGAATGGCACAAAGTTAGTACGAAAACTGTTTTTGGACAGTTTGCTTGTGCTAAAAGGCAGCTTGCTTGTGCTTGAAGAAAGGGAGTTTGTGGCCGAATTTTGCACTTTTTTTTAGAGTTTGTTTTTACCATTATTTTTTCCTAGTTCTATTAGGTTTGTATTGTCTTTAAATGCTTTCAATTTCACGTTGTAAATCACCCAAGTTTTAGTTGAATAAAAACTACTCCTACGTGAGTTTCAAGTTCTTTGAGTTGTGTCTCAAGAATCAAATCCTTGAGTTAGTTTTGTGAGGATTCCGTTGCTAATTCGAGAACCCTTGTCAAGCTTTTCTGTGAGGAGTCCAGAATCGTTTAACAAGCTTCTTATCAATCAAGTAAACACCTTGATTGTGGCGAAGTTCTACCTTTTCCATTCTTATCGTTCGAGAGTGTGTTTGTTGTGTTGCTTTGATCAAAAGCACCCGTGGGTGTTTATCATGGGGAAGGGGGGAGGAGGCAGGTGGTCTTCGTGACCCCTTCAATATAATATTGTTTTTTTTCTTTTGTTTGAGAAATAAATGTGACGTGGTGTGCCTAGTCAGCACAGCTTGCTGACTCACTGACGGGGTAAATTGTTGACCGTCGGTTTTGACGGTCAATTCAAATATCGGGCCAAATTCATCCATTTATTTGAAAAGTTGGCTATAACTGTACTATTCAAAAGTATTATCCCTCACATCTATATTGCAAAAAAGATGGCTTTATAAAATTGCCATGTGATTGCCCACACATATCTTTTGTGAGAGCAACTTTGTAACAAACTTTATTGCCATTAATATCATACTAACACGTGTGCCCCGGCCATTTGGCCGGAGGAAGGTGAGGTATGAAATTTGATAATGTAATGGGGTGTATACCTTATTGTTGTATAGTTTTTTTGGGGAAGCACATGATAAAAATAGTGAATTTCAGTAGGAAAGAGACATGAATGATGCAACGAATCTTAAATCAGCCTTATGAACCAAAATCAAGTACCTGTTACCTTATGAAACAATATTGTTTCTCGCAATATGATGAGGATGAGTAAGTTTTATAAAAACTGAATTCCAGAAAATCGAATAAAAAATTGCCTATCCCGCGGATTTTCGGGAAATGAGCATCTCACAATCGTTGCTAGCTTTTACTCGCCCCGTTGGCAGATTAATTTGCTTTATAAAACTTTCATCTTGTCATCATTGTGCTTTCTGGTTTTTTGCCAAGCCATGATAAAATCTAAAGAAATCAAGAATGAACAACACGATTTGGGATAGGAACCACCGTTCCTGTATCCCTAGAAAATGCTGGTAAACACGGACTCACCTGCCAAGCTGGTTTGGATTGAGATTTTTATCATGTATTAGGGAACCATGTGATTATAAATTAGACTTGATCAAAACGGGCCAAAACTTGAAATTCAGCCTGTTTGACCGAGCCATGCCAAACTCTAATTATTCTTTACTTTTAAACTTTCTATTTGAAAATAAAAAATAATGAAAGAAAAGAGATGACTGCAATTCGCCATTTGCACATCACTGATTCGGGAATAAAACTATAGAATTTCGGAAGGAAACTGAAAATGTTTAGGACCGTTTTAATGTTAAAAATAACCAAATAGATCTTTCTGTTTAGTTTTTTACTAGCAAATACCAAAAGATTCCCTATAATATATGCCATAATTTAATCATTATGATATCAAATAATTAAATAATATATATTTGAAATGATAAAAATTGGACTAATTGGGTTGGTCGAGGTTGAACCATTGAAAGACTTTTAAAAAAATTATATTTTAGCCACTAAGATATAAAATAATAGCACAATAT